GACCATAATCATACCCACTATGGGGCGGTGCAGCCTCATGGAAGCAGATGACACTGGGAACAGAAACCCAAGAATAAACCAGAACATTTTGTCTACACTTTTAATACTGTAATTAGACTAATAATAATTTTTTGTCTCCATGTATAAGGTGTGTACCAGTTCTGTCCATAACTAAATTGTCTGTCCCTCAACATTTCTTGAAAGCATACAGTTAACTGAATAACATAAAAACGAACAGTTTTTTAGAGAATGCTCCAAAATAATCTGAAAAGACTGAATCTGAATCAGAGTCTTTATAGATCAAATTTGAACAATGTTTCTAAAAGAAATAAAATGCACTACAGCAAAGGAAACTATGCACTCCCTTCCTGGAGAGCAAACCTATTGGTTTGTCCATATGAGGCAGAAAAATATAGATGTAGATATAGATATGACATTTAGGAAAAGTAATATATATGAATAGACATAACCTGTAAGAAAAAGAATTTGATTAGAAAAAAAATCTATAAGGAGTTTATAGAAATACTTCTCTAATTACCTAAAACTTCTTTCATACAACTTTCTGTGAAATAACTATTAAAAACATATACAAATTCTGCAGGGTTTAATCAATTTTAAAGGCTGAGAAGCAATTTAGGCAAGTGAACACACAGTGACCTCACTCAGCTCAATAGGGAGGTACACTTGGGTTGCTCTCTCTCCTAAATCAAGATAAAGATGTGGGATACAGGCTGTTCAACTCTGTCTAAGCTCAGATCACAGATGTATCACCCAGCATATGATAATGGAAAGTATCTGTACGCAACACTCAATTTCAGAAGCACATTCTCCACAAGGGAAATGCGTGATGGAAAAGACTAGAGGTAGAAAGAACAGGAAAAAAATAATTTCATTTTAAACAGGAGTTACTTGATAAATAGCAACAATTGTGTTTACTTGCTTTTGATAACTGCTTAGAAATCTCAAGACATTACATTGCAACACAACTAGGAAAACAAGATGAATGTTGGTATATTATATTAATATCCCATAAAAATAATTATTCAAGGCTGAAACAAAGAATTAAAAAATATTTAATCTCTCTTCTGTGCGCAATAGTTTTATAAATCTCATTGTGCTTCCTTCCTGAGTACGGAAAATAGGGTAATTCTATTCAATTCAGGATAAAGTGGATGAATTAAATAAATCTTCAGCTGATTCTTTTCCTATTCCTTCCTGTCCACATGTTTAAACAGAGACCAGTTTGAGATCTTCTACTTCCTCTCCAGTTTCCACATGTTCCACTGGAAGTTTTACCAGTGCTGTTCCAGTGATTTCATTTCACAGTGCTCAGTGATTCAAAGCAAACAGGGCTCTGTGATCCTTCTGTCAAAAGATCTGTCTGAGTTTAGAGAACGAGATATTTCAAACAGAAGTTAGGTTTCAGATTCAACAGATTCTAAGTTCACCTTTTTAAAAGATGCTGTTGCACACATTGCAGAGCTCTGCCCAGGCAGGTGTGACTGGAGCAAGGCTGCCCCAGGTTCACTGTTGCTGCTAGGCAACAAATATCACATCTTGTATTTATAATTTTAGACTATGATTCTTACTTAGGCAGATTACAGGCTTGCAGAGAAGTGTCTGAAACCAATAATAGATATTCTGAAGTGTGATTATTATTTGAATGCTAATGACGCTTTATGATGCATAAACTTTACTGTAAAATGAAAGCTGATAAGTATGGGACAAGTTTCTACTATCTGCATACTTTATAAGCACAAAACTTGTATGCCAGTAGTTTCATTTAACTGAAAATTCTGCTATTTTCATACTGATTGCAGAACTATCTACTGTGGAAAACATTGCTTCCTAGATAATAGAAATATTAACTGAGTACACAGCAGCACAGTATAATAAACATAAGTATTTAATAGAATACAAAGTCAAATATAAAGGCATTTCAGTTTGTGATGAACCACTTTATTTGTGTACAGTGTACTCATGCAAATTATATTCAAGAAAAGTTATATAAAGATGTATCAGATCACTACTTGTTTATTTGGACGGTACCAGAATATTATCTTCAAACCTCCTAGATCACTTTCAGCAGCTCCGAATAATTCTGCTCCTTAGAGTATTTCATAATTGCAGTCTCTCCTGGCCACTGTGTCAGCAGTGTCAATTTTTTACTTCTTCTCTCTCTGTTTTCAAGCTTTCAACCATGCCAGAAGGTATGGTTTGAAATAGCCTTTTCAAGTTGCCCCATGCACATTCATTTTATCTTCTCATGTAATCTCTGAAGCCTGTAATGTAAAATTGCTCCTAGCCTGATCATCACTACTTTTAGCCATTTACCTTGAATGATAACTGCCTCTTATTCAAACACATTTTCTTGGCATTTCTTCTTCCTTTACCTGTAATCATGCATTTAGTTTGCTACTTGCACTTAAAGTTCTCTGAATCAAGCATTGAATTTGTTCAGCACATAACAGCAGATTGTTTACAGAGTACAAAAAGTGCAGATAAATACCAATAATTCCATATTTTGCTGTGTTTTGTTTTGCAATTTTATGTTACAGCATTATTACAACATCAATCACTTTTCTATTGTCTTCTCTTTTAGAAGCAACAGTCTAAATCTGTAACTTTCTGGAAGATAAGCATAGACATGATAGTCATATAAGGTGAAAATTTGGCCATCTTGAAACAAATGGTCATATTCCTACTGGATTTCTAGGATTAAAGGGAAGTGAAAAAAACCTGGAAGATACAAAACTTGAGAAAATCTGACTCACGTTATGCTATCTAGGACCTAGTAAGAATGTTCTCCAAACCCAGGTTACCCACATTTGACTTGCTATGGTACAGTATGACCAATGGCAGCCAGGTAGAGGTGAGAGAATCCATCTTCTCTGTGCTACAATGCACTAGGAGTCAGATAAAGGGCAGCATAAAAGCACAGATTTCTAACAAACTCCATAACAGATTTCTAACAAACTCCATAACAGAAGCCCACAAACTAGATTTCAGAACAAACTTTTTATCGGCAATGTGATGAAAAAAAAAAAGCAACCATGGAATCATAGAATAGTTTGGGTTGAAGGGACCTTTGAAGGCCATCTAGTCCAATGCCCCAGCGATGAGCTGGGACATCTTCAACTAGATCAGGTTGCTCAACAGCGACCACAAACCTGTGTGTCACAGAGGAGGTACCATATCATTCATAATCAAACTCTACAGAACTGGCACTCGTACACTGAAAGTGACTCTGGCTCCAGTATGAAAAGAAGGGAGTTTTGTGATCGTTAGTTCCCCAAATGTACATTAGTTATATTTCCACAAAACTGCCTGACTCACCAGTTTCTTCTCTCAGGGACAGAAATATGAGCAAGCAACACCATAGCCTTGAGTGAAATCACACCCCAGAACCACATTTGTGAAGTACTACGATCTCTTCTGAAAAAGTATGGACTGCACTTTCAGAATATCTTGAAGACCACCTCAAGTTGGAGAACATTCCTTTTTAAGAACTGATCCTGTTCAAGGAAAGTTCAGGTCCCTGTCATAGGGCCTTGGTTGCTTTTTGCCAGAACGAAAACCTCCATTTGTATAAAATTAACACCAAAGGCCCTGTTACTGTGTAACTTTTATAACTGGCACCCAACCGGTGAACAATCTCATGCTGATTTTTCAAACAATGTTCTACAGGGTTTCTCCTATCCCACAGTGGAAGACCAGGACCAAAGGCAGTAGAACACTATCTGAAAGGTCCCAAGGACAATTTCTTTTCAAATGACACCAAGTTGCAAATAGAAATTTCCTATATATTTATTGAATTTATTTTTATTTAAATGAAAACATTTTCTATAAACAATAGTAGATTGGGTCTATCTTTCTCTTGCATGTTACCAGACAACTCTATCAATCTATGTCTGTTTGCTTTATGATACAAAGCCTATTCAGTTATTCTGCCTCTTGTTCAATTTGCTACACTTGCTCCATTCTCAAAATCTGATCTCAAGTGAATGGGATCTTCAGAAGAATGCCATTTTATGCACTAGTTTAATTACTTTTAATTTTAGTTTCTGACTGATTCATATTTTAGCACACCAGACACTTCAATTCTGGAGGAAGAAATCCCATTTAAAATTTTTATTTACAAAGATAAGTATAGGAAAAAATTGATATTCACAGTTCTGAATAGGAAAAAAACTAAAGAAAAGCAATATTGTTTCAACAACTGTATACAGATTTACCACACAGTTTCAAAACCTGAGCAAAACCTTACTTCAGAAAATTACTTCAGATATAAAACACTGGAAAAGAGCAAGATTGAGATCTGCCAAAAAAAAGTGAGTACATCAGCTGTAATCCAATCAGTAGAAACTCTAATAATCAAACTGTCAAATTTGAACAATAAGGAACACTTTATTTAGGAGCTGTTCCTCATAACCAGATTTAATCAAGCCTTCTCTCTATTTGCATAATTTCTTCAAAGAACGAGGGATAATGCTTTGCCATTTTCAGTCTTTTTTCCTACATTAAGAGTATGTCTCTTTAAAGTGCTAAATAAGAAATTTTGTCTTCAAGAAAGCATAAATACTCTTTGAAAGCTTGGCCTTACTGGCAAAATTAGAGACTTTCTTCTGAGCCAATGGGAATATCCTTCCTTTCGTGAACTGTGTTTAGTGGGTGGAACGCAAATCCTTAGCCAAAAGCTGTAATAGTGCATAAAACTATGGTGCTTTGGGAAATGTCTCCCCCTTTTTCTGTTACATGTTATTTTAGGCAGAAATGGCTAGCTGTTCTGTTGTGCCTCCTTGCCTCCCCTGCCTGACTTCTTTGCATATTCTAATGCAAACTTGCAAAAGAAAGACCAACATCCCCAACAACCTCTTTCCAGTTGTCCTGATGCCTTGATGACTTTCTGTTGAAGTTCATGTGTTGAGGACAGAGCATGTTACAAGATCAAACTCAAAACAGGCTGAAAGACAGATTATGAAAAGCCTAAGAGGACTTACTGGTATGTGGTGGGACTGACATTGATGCGGCGTGGGTGACTTCCTGACTCGAACTTGCTTGCAAGGGTGACATTGTTCCCAAATAGACAATAGCGTGGCATTCTTACACCAACGACGCCAGCCAGCACTGAACCTGAGTGAATGCCTATCCTCATCTGGAAAAAACAGGAGATCCATGTCAGTCTGTTTCTCCTGTGCTGCCCACAGTTATGTCATTAGCACTTATTTATAAGCCAGTCACAGTAACACTTTAAAATTAATAATAAACCAAAGAAGAAAAAGTGAAGTGGAAGAAAACATTCTTCTATTCCTCTACCTTAAATCAGTTGCAGTTAAAAGAAAAAAGAACAAAAACACGATTATCTTTTTACTAAAACTATTTTCTTCTTCTATGCACATTTGCTGGAGACTATGACAGTCAAAACAGGAATCGTGAACAGAACAGGATGGGATCATCCAGTTCAATATCAGACATCCAATTACACAAATAAAACATTACTGAGGGTTATTTTCACCACCACTTCTAACACAGGCTTTAAAGTAAGACCCAATTTTTCTCAAACTGGCAGAAAGAGTAGTAAAGTGGAGTGAACGAATAAGGTACTTTTATCTTCGTATTTTTCTTCCAAACTCTTCAGGGTCTAAGGTCTTTCTCACTTTGTCAGACAGATATTGCAATGGTGAGAACACTGAAGATTGAGGCACCAATGATTTTTAAAGTAATTGTATCCTCCTCCAAATAAGGAGGAATAAATCCCCAGCAAATTAAAAAAACCCATGTGATTATTCTAGCAATCATCCCCTGCAACTGCCTGAGATGTGGCAATTACATTGATTTGTAAAGCTCAGAGTCACCATCCAAGTTTCTTTCAGAATGAATAAACAGAGATTTATTCTGCATACATTTTAGCTACCAATTGTGTTTGCTAAGAAAATATTTTTTACAGGTAGAAGGGTCTTTTTCTCTTGTTAATTTTATAATATTAAAAAAATGAAAGAAGATATTTCTATCTTCTGAGGATACTCTTGCTCATAGCAACTGGATTGCTGTAAAACATAAAATGTGAAGAAAATAAATAACAGCTACTAAAACAAAGAGTCTGATGGGGTATCAATTAGTGATTCACCTAACACTATACTCAATATGGTCCTTTGATTTACTTAATTAACAGTTATTTCACTGTGCTTTTGTCTATCAATCCCTATTTTTTAATAACAAAATACATACTTACTCAAATACAAATAAAAAAATAATTGTTACCCCTTTTTAATGTGAACAAAATGCCAGCATTTTATAACATTGGTGTCCATGAAGTTCTACGGACATGTAGGACCCCACATTATTTCACTGACTATGTTTCTTCCCATGTGGTCAAGACTTTTACCATACAGCTAAGCATTTTTAATTTTGTTCCTCTCTTATATGTCACAGACAACAGGTATACAATTATATCTGCTATACACTAAGCTAATAATATCTCTATACACTAAGCCCATGCATAAACTAAGAACATGTTCTGCATTCAATGTGATACTACTTCCAACATTCTCACAGGCAACATAAAACCTTCAATCTTCATCATAATGTTGTTAATTACAGACTAGGTTGTTCAGTGGGGGTTTTTTCCTTCTTTTTCTTTCTTCTTTTCTTTTTTAAGGTTGTGAATAAGTAGCACTCGATTTAATTGAACTTTCAAACCTTAACTATGGTAAATGAGCAAACAGCCCTTCTCAATATAGATGAGGTCAGTACTTGCCCTCAGCAGAAAGTCTTGATCACATAACACAAGTATGCTGTCAACTTTCAATAAATAATAAAGAACCTGTTTACAATGCCTTTTTCCTGTGAGATGGGAGACAGATTAGTTATTTTGCACTCAATTTTAAGAACAGAGCTAATGATACCTATTTGTTCCATTACTACTCTGCACATTTATTTAAAAATCACAAATATACCACTTGTTGTGACTTCTAGGGCACATTCAAACACATGTGAAGGCCAGATTAAAACTGTATGAAAAAGTACTGGGTTTGTTTTAGTATACATTAAAGTGGAAAGAAAATTGGATAGCAAAATGTACTAAAAAATAAAATTTACTTTTGCAGTATATGCAGTGAAAGTTAAAGTTGTTGTTGGTTGTTTTTTTTACTTTCATTGTCAAAGTGTTTCCCTTTACATGGCCACGTAGTTTTTTATCATTCGGTGCTACAGCGACAGAGGACTTCCAAAGGATTTCCAAGTCCATCAGGATTTTCAAATTCTCAGTGGCAAACATTTAGTCACTCTTGAAGAACACAAACCCCACTCACACAGTAAATGCTTTCAAGATCTTTTCTCATGATTGTTTCAAAAAGACACTGGGAAAATAAATGGCCTTTGTGGTTATGACTTCTGCTCTGCAAGTGCCAAGGAAGCCAGATATTACACAATCAGACTTGCTGAAAAAAATTCAAGCTGATACATCACTCTTAATATAAAATATTTTCCTTTGCAAAGTTAGGTAAATAAAGCTAAACCTATGCCAACTTCCATGGAAAAATTGCATCAGGGAACAAAAATACATGGACATTCAAAATTTCACTCAGGAATACACAGGTGAGATCTTCCGTGAACTGTTTGAATTTCAGAAGGGATGAGAAAAAAAAAAGAAAGGAAACAGCTTTTGTATTTAATATAGTGTGTATCTAAAGAGATTTTAAAAACTCTTGGTTTGGGTGAGTACATAACATTTTGTCTTCTATAGTATCTTCAGAGATTTTTAAAAAACATGTTCATACAATAAAAAAGGTAGATATTCTCACAAACACAGGTTAAACTACATAGAGCAATTGATGAGAGTGTCAGAACCTGACATTTTCATCGGGTGCAAGACAGTTCACATACATTTTCTCATTAAACCATAGAGATAACTGCCTGATACAAGACAAAATTACACCAAGAGTGGCTTACAATAAAACTCCACTTCTGCTTCATTATATGGTTCTCTATAAGAAAAGAGCCTGCAACACTGATGCTATTGCTGCGAAGTATTCCTTAGTGTGCCTTCTTATACTGAGAATAACCATCATATTGGTCATATACTACTTTTTAGTGAAATATGTTTTCATAAAATTTTCTTTTCCAGGTTTGATTTTGTCTGCAGATGCATTGTTCTGTCTTTTTCCTCATTGAGTTGATAAGTGTTGTGTTAAAAGTTTAAGGCTCTTTTTTACAAAGGAAGAAAATGTGTGATCAAACTATTAGCAACAAGACACTTATTGAGTCACATCAGCCTTTCACATTACCTTTGCAAATAGAAATTTTTCTTTGCAGGAAAAGAAAATCTGCCTGGAGTATAAAACTTACAACAATAATAAAAGTTATACATGTATAGTTATAGTTCCCAAGGCATATTGAACATGCAGCCCATACCAATGCTTTCCCAGAACATTTACCATTAAAGATTAGTAACAGCATATAAAGCACAAATTAGGTGACAACACTAGGATGCATTATTTGTCTATAATAACTTTATTCCTTTTAATGTATGTGTAGTATACATTATATATATATTATGTTATACTTAAATGGAGCATTTTTAATAAAATTCATGCTCTTCATCTGTACCAACTGCTCCTTTATATGTCGCTAATTATTTGGCTAATGATAAAAGGATTTGGCTAATGATAAAAAGGCAGCATGTAACTGAAATTGAAAGTTCAGAGGCATTATGCATACAAATAGAAATACAGCTCTTTGGAAACTATCACCATGAATAAAAACAACCAGTAAGTAACAGTCCCCCAACAGTTAAGGAACAGTGAAGAGACAAGGCAAAAGACATTTCTAGAACAGAATACTGGAAGGCACAATGGTGAATGAAACACGAACATGCGTGAAAAAGAGCAAGACAGCCATGAGAGATCTTTTAGATAAAGAGGAACAACTTGAATTGGGTGCATTGGAAAGATTTAGAATGAAAAATGAGAAAAAAAGATTAACAAATCCGATCTTTGCAAGAACTGTGGTAATAGTGAGGTGGAGAAAAGCTGATATGTCAGAGTCGTAAAAGTAAAGCAGAGTGCATTGATCAGCGTAGGATGGGAGGAAACACATAGCTATGTGGAAAGCAAAAGAAGCTACCAAAACCTGTAAGGAAAAAGTAGCAGTATTTGGATATTTCTTACAGGATAAGGTACAGAGAGCAGAAATGGCTAATACCTGAGTGACAGCAGGATAGTGGTTTTGTTTAACAGTGATAAAGAACCACGGAATCACAGATCTGCTGAGTTGGAAGGGACCCACTAGGATCACGAAGTCCAACTCTTAGCCCTGCAAAGGACTATCCCCAAGAGTCACATCATGTGCCTGAGAGTATCATCCAACATTTCTTGAACTCTGTTAGACTTAGTGCTGTGATCACTTCCCTGGGGAGCCTAAAAGATAAGGAGCACTAAAACTATGGTCATCATTTAACAGGGAAATGACCCAGAAGTGGTATTAAATGAGAACTGCTAGTCCGGACTGGACTGTGAGAGAAAAGTCAAGAACAAACAGGAACAGAGATGAACAACACAAAAATATTTGTTCTTTTTCTGAACTGAACATTCTGTTACTGTGTTTTTCTGATATGCTGAATCTTAGAAGAGTTGTGTGTTACCCCTTTACACCTCCTCATTGCCAAATCATGATTTTCCTCTTTTATATCTAAAAGAGCTGGGATTTTTGTTTTGTTTAGCTTTGTTTTGTTTTTATCTGATATGCCATTTCAATTACTTTCAACAACCTGAACGCCTCCTTAGGCACCATAGTGAAAACTGCACTCATCCATCACTATTCCAAGTTAGATGAGAGTAAATGCCACACTGAAAATTCACAGTCCATCTACACTCACTTTATGGTGAAGAGGCAAAAATATTGTAATAGCAGTAAAGGAAGACATTGGCATGCCTGAAGTAAATTTCCTAATTGCTTCTTTATTTCTTAATAGATTTTTCTGTTAATCAGTATACTCACAATAAAAAAAATTGAGTAATTTTCTTTATGTTTAAAGATCTTGAACTTTTTCTCTTTTGAAACCCTATTGAAAACGCATTCTCCTTCCCTCTCCTCATTTCCCCATATAATTTTCAAGGCAAATATTAAAATGCAAGTGGAAAGATACCCTTCTACAAC